TAGCAAAGTGATAACACAAAATTTTTGCCTGTCCTGTGATTCTTACCTAATCCGATTGCAAGAAATCGCAAAACAACTCAAATTTGTAGTTTTCTGTTATTAAGTAAAAGTTTTCAGCACAAAAATTTAGATATATCGTCTTTATATTATTTAACACAAATATTGATGATTAGACGAAAATAAGGACTGCATCGTTGTTGGATTAGTTACAAAACCGATTGTTACAACTAAAGAGGCTGGCCACACAATCTTCCTCAATAGTGGTGAAATTATTCCTCAGTTACGACTGCGTACATAGAAAAAAACAACACAGATCAATTACGTATTATATTTGTTGTGTTACGATTATTGTATGGAAAATATCATATAACTCGAAAATTTTTGGGGGCAAATTTTGTTCTCATACATACAGTACATAAATCCAAAAACAACCTTAACGCTTAACATACACTAGTAGAGAAACTTTTTAGGTTGGTAATGCTAGATCAGTTGAAATATCCTGTTTCATTCGGTAAATTACCTAGCTTCTCGGAAACTATATCGCTGTCTCCGGACCTTCAGTCCGAAGACAACGATGTAATTTCCGGAGAGCTAGGTAATTTACCGAATGAAACAGAGGATAATAGCTGTAAATAAAATTAACTTTTTGCGTAGCCTAAATTAATTCATGTTCACATCTAAGGTTACGCAAAGTTAATTCTTCGGTTTGCATAATATGGAATCAGAAAATTTTTAATTTTTTTTCGGACCTATCGGGTACTTCCTGAAAATTAAGGTCATTAATTTGCAAAAATGGAATAATTGGCACAATAGGAATTTTTTAAAAAAAAAAATTGGAAAAATTGGGTCGGCGGGTTATGCAAAACGAAAAATTAACTTTGCGTGGCCTTAGAGTTATGAATTAATTTATATGTCAAGAAGATTATTTAAGATTATTACCTCATCACACCAAGGATCTTTTTTAAAGAATATTTTGAAATAAGGGAATGTATGACACATGACTCTTCTTTACATCTCTTCAAATATTTTTGTAGATAACGGATGACATTCTTTCTCAACCAATTATATCCAAAGTACAAAATTGTATCAACTGAAAGAGGTTTATTAATGGTACATTATCTTCATTGAAGTGATATATGTTGAGTTTAATGAGTGTGATGATTTAGAATTGATCTTTTGAGTAATCGTTTTACGCAAGATTGAATTAATGGCTCGAGTGACGCCACGTATTTTATATTGAAAGCAGAGAAAGCTGGTGATAAGATACGTTTCTATAATTGTTAATACGATTTTTTTTTTAATTATTATAGCTTATAATAACATTATTTAAAAAAGAAATTATAGAAAAATGGATGCTAACGCGTTGTCTGTGAAAGGTCCTGTCGCTGGATAATAATTGTTGCACAAGAAAAATAGCGTAGAAAACATTAAAATAAATTGCAAGATGTACATATGAGTAAGCATTTCTTTTAAAACACTTAGTGGCAGAAAATAAAGTTGGTTAGTTGTAATGTGCTCTGATTCCTGCAATAGATGAGGTCTTTGGCATATCCTAATACAGTGGAAAAATAATAGTTGCTTATAAATGCAAATGAATTTATACATTTTCAATTAAACAACATAAAAAACTTACACTATCTTTCAAAATAAATTTTATGGCTTCTAAATCTTCTTCAAATAAGATATATTTTGGGACAACCCTAACAACATTACCATATTTTAAATGTAATGAATAAAACCATTCAAATACACGACCTTCTGGTCTTTTCATTGATACTAAAATTACGGTATAAGAAGAAAATATTGGGCCAGGAATTTTTGAAAGTGGTGAGAGGTATGTATAATAAATTACATAACAAAGAATTTTCATGAAAACGATGAGGAAAATAACAGACAAAATGTTGAAAATAATGACATTATTAAATGAAAATTTCGGAGGAAAAAAAGGTGATAAGTAGGGATAACTAGAATATAAATAGCAGTTGTTTAAAACAAAATTTTGCATATTGAATGTTTAGTTTTTAAATAAGTTATGATTTAAAAAAACGAAGTTTATCACAGACGAGTTTGTTAAGTGTCAAAGAAATAATTTTATCTTTAACGCGTAAAACAATTTATTTTGTCGAAATAAGGTCTTTATATAAGTAAAATTATTCGTTTATTTGCATGTTCTTCTAACGCCTGCATAATAAATAGACTTATTGATTAATCGATTAATCTATATGCACGAACAAAATCATAGTACAAACTTTCTTATAAAAATTATTTCTTACACAATTAATGTGATAAATTTCAAATATACTTTAATATATGTGTGATTCTGTTATCAATAAGATGCATACAACATCACAACTAGCCACTACATAATCATTACTCCACGCTTCAGAATTCACAAAAATTTGTATTATCGTAACATAAAAACCTGTATTATCGTTACGTATCAGGGATTGGTTCCAATGATTCATAGATAAATTAAAAATCTCATAACTATATAGATACTAACGAAAGATATTGCCGAAAAGAACTTTCTTAAGAAGATTTTAAACGCCTTATTTTCGTTTAATCAAGGTCCAATATTATTTTCCCCACATATTGCAGATTTTTTCGTCTTATAAAGATGTAATTAAACTAAATTATAATTACACGATACGATGAAATAAATTTAAGGTAGATTAAAAGTAGTAAACCAATGGTTACAATTTAAAGATTGTATATAAGTCGGAGATATAGATGCAAAGATTTTCAGAACGATTAGAATTTTTTTGTTCAGCTTTAATTTCGTATTATATAAATCTATAGATTATATTTATTCATTATACGCAGATGAGAAATTTATCAAAATATTGAAACATATATTAAAAATACAGTATAATACAGTAGTGCCATCACATTAATTTAGAAGGCACTGATCATTATGATTTCTCAATTACTGTAATAAAATGTTTATCTAAAGAACAGATATAGCAAAAGCAATATACAGTAAAACCTCTATAAATGCACACTCATGAGACCAAACTTTAACAGTGCATTTATGAAGTTATATGATATATTTGGGCCCAAATTTGATTGTGCATTTAGAGAGGGTGTGCACTTGTATAGGGTGTGCTTATGGAGTTTTACTGTAGTAATATATTTTACGCATGAGAAGATTTTGTAAATTGGACCTTTATACTAGTATCTAAATATAATAAGTAATGATTAATAATAATTATCCCTTAAATTTTAACAATATGAATGGCCAAAGATCGTACCTTCTGCAAAGCATCCCACATTCTAATTGATTGCTTACTCTATCCACAAGATACACAAGATATAAGTAGAGTAGCCTTCAAAAATTTATGACGATTACATAGAAAAGCATAAATGTAATATATTGATAAACCAATTAAAGTGCGAAATTTATATATTATTACGTAGTAAATGAAAATGATGTATCTAGCTCTTCCATTCTTCTAGGAGTGTCGTCTTTAAGGTTTCGTAGGTTTTGGAGGTGGCCTTCGGTGCTCAAAATTGACTTTTAGTATTTCTATATATTCTCAATGATGGTTTTAATTTGGAAGCTATTGTATATCAATAATTATTAGGGTTGCACGGCATTTAATCAATCTTATGCGTACAAATTTTTATGTTACACGAATGAAATCAAATTTAAACATGTTTTTGATGTTTTGTCTACAACTACCCTAAAAATTCTTCGCAAAAAAAAAATATACACTTTGAAAAATCGTAGCTCAAATTTTACCTATGAAAGTGCCTTTCGCGTCCTAATAAAAAAATTCTTTATCATATTTTAGTATATTGTATTTTATTCTCTACCTGAACCTAACCTTAACATTAAAGTTCTATCGTTTAAATCTTTCGTTTATTCGATTGTCTTAATTTTCACATATGGGCGGGTTTTGTGATTTTAATGATATTTACGAATATGGATCTACCAACAAATAAATTATTGCAAATTTGTCTTACATTAAATTGACGTTGATTGGTTGATTTATTTAGCAATATATAAAGTATTTTTCGCTTTTACAAAGTCCCAAGCTTTATTTCTTAATCTTGCGACATGAAATTTTCACATTTATGTTTAACATGACCCAAAGTTCAAAGAACAAAAAGAGTTTTTCAAGAACCAAAAAAATAGGCATAACTTTTACTAGTGACAATGCCAAAGAGTCCACTATGTAAAAATAATCAATATTATTGTTTTAATCATACAAAATTTTTATTGGTTAATCTATTTTTCGATATCATGAGCATCACGTACAAATTATTGTACATATTTGAAGTTACACATAATTTTGCAATCTGATTGGGTATTCTTGAGGTAGTCTTTTGTTTATTATACTTCATATATCTACAAATTTTTAAAACAAGTTTATAAATGTTTTAAGAACAAAGTTAAATTGCTAAATTATATAAACTTTGGTAAGTTAACACTCTCTATAGTCATACCCTATATAATCACATCTTTATATCAATACCTAATTTTGTAAAACAAATTGTTATAAAATATATAGAAAAAACCTCTATATAACAACAATCTCTTTATAACCACATTTTTAAAAAAGTTACTATCATCCCAACTATGTTATTATAGAGAGGGTTGACTGTATTCAATTTTTAAATATTAACCTATTTTTTGAATATAAAATTATTTCTCACCTGGGGTAAATCTCACTTCTTATAATATAATTTGAAAAAATCAAAATTTTACTAACGTAATCTCATTATGTAATATAAATAAAAAACTATTTCTTTCGCAATTTTACATTACCCTGCCCAAATCCTAATCTTAATTCATACCTTAACATATTATTATATGGCAAGTGTTTTAATACTTAAGAGTTTAAGTAATTCACCCAGATATCAAATAAAGTATTTTTTTAATTTAACATAATGATTTTAAAAGTTTTTTAGAAAAAGGAATATAGTTACTTTTAAATAATTTAGTATAAGAATAGATTTGATTAATTATGCTGTTTGCAACACCTTAATATCGATGTTATATAATGAGTTTATAAAGCCTATTGATTTTGTACCGCCATACTAATCAGTTAATACCATTTAATTTTTAGTTTAAACTCTGCTCATTTGATTTATAGAGTTAAGATTAAGAATTCGGATATTCATAATTTGATCTGCTAGACCAAAAAACTCTTTTCTATAAGAAATGTAATTAATGTGATAAGTATCATGGGAAATAAATAATAGCAGTATTTTTATTTTGTCGAAAAAATATAAAAAGATAAAGATGTAATCACATAAACTAAACTAAGGATAGATATCAAAAATTAAAATAATAAATATT